GAATTAGATTTACTGATCGTCCTTGGGATATAAAATTAAGTGATTATATTCTTAAATGGACTCCAGAAACAATTTTAAAATCATTAGGTGATGCATTACAAAGAAATATTAGACCATTTACAAAATTACCAAAGGATGAAATTAAAGCTATAAGAAAATTTATAATTGAAAATTGGCATGAGTTTTCAACAAGTAATGGAACTTTGGGTAAATATTTCAAAAGTTTTTTTTCATGTAAAATTACATATTATTTTTTTTTATTAATCTAAATTGATTAAAATATTAAAAATATTAAAAATATTTAGTTAAATCGGAATTTCGTAACGCTTTGCGCAAATTACCTATATGGCCTACAGCTCCAAATGGTGAAAAATACAAAAGTACAACTGATGGATTACTTGCACCAAAAAATATTGAAATATTATCACCTAAATCAAAATGTTATCCAGATAAATTCTTCCTTCATGTAAAAAATGATGTTTGGCGAAAGATACTAGAAGCGTTAAATACTCCTTACATAGATCTTATTAATTATTTAAAAAATCATTATACATTTCCAAAAGAATATGAAGAAAAATATTTTAAATTTATAAAAAGTGTTTTAAAATCAAGTAATTTCCAGGAAATCGAAATTTGGATCAGAGATAAACCTGTGATTCCAAATAGGTTAAATAAGAAACTTAAAACCGCAAGGGATCTTTATGATTATAACACTTATTTATTTCGTATAACATTTGAAGGAACTGATCGTTTTCTTCATGATGAATTCCAAAATGATTCAACTTATTTAAATATTATTAAGAGAATGGGTTTTAAATATCAAATAAATAGGCAGACTTTTCTTGAATGCGCAAGAGCAATTAAAAAGCAATCCTCGGAACCAAAACACAATCCTAGCGATTTAATAGTTCGTGCTACAACTGTAGTTCATTATCTATATGATAATATAGATGAATTAAGTTATTCCGATGCTGAATATGAAGAATTAGCTTTAATACCTTTCATTCCAGCTGATTTATCTATCGAAACTCCTTATTCAGAAAATGCCGTTAAATCTAACGAACTTGAATGTCTTAATTCATTATGTTTACCTAAATATAAAAATATTGGTAATTATTATCTTTTTTATAATTTGATATTTATCTTATTATGTACGTAATTTTTTTTAACTTGTTTTTTTTTTTAAAAAAAAATTTTTCTTGTAAAGCTTTTACTCAAGTAGCATTATTTCACACTGCAATAATTCCTAAACCTACATCACCAATATTAACAAAATATAAAAGATTCGGAAAGCCAAGTGCAACACAAGTTCTTGCACATTTACGTGAAGTAGCATTTAATTTATTAAGATCTAGTCAATGGAGATATGAAGAATACCTTTTTAAAAAGATGCTTGATGAAATTTATAATGCACTTAATGAAGAATGTGAAGATGAATATTCTACTATTAATGAACAAGATTTTAAAAGTGATGAAAAGATTTTCTTAAATATATATCCAACTGATGATGCTTTTGATGAATCAAATTGGAAATCAGCAGATGAATTAATTGTTGGTGTTAGTTTATCTGAAGAAAAATTTGTAAAACCTAGCCTTGCGAAATATAAAAAATTATTGGAAGTAGCAGGATCCGGTACTCTTAGATCTGGAGAAGACTTTGATGATGATTTATCTCAGGATGATGATTATGAAAAAGTGAATAAACAAGGTGAAATACTTTTGAAGTCACTTCAACAATCGTTAAAAAATGGATTATCTGAACCTCTTAATGATGTGATATTTATTGTAAAAGATCAAAAGATTGCTGCAAATAGACTTGTACTTTCATCTGCCGCAGATCATTTTAAACATTCATTCTCAAGACAATATAGGGATGGTAATCCATTAGAAGTAGCTACTATTCCTGGTTATGATATTGAGCCAGATTCATTTAGAGTTTTATTAAATTATTTATATGGCATTTCACTTGATACAGCTATTGCGCCTAAAGGTGTAAAGAAATATAATTATAAAAGTATAGATGAAGATTGGTATCATGAAGAAGAAAATGAAAGACAATTTAAAATTTTAATGGATCTTTTAGAAGCATCTGATTATTATAACATAATAAATTTAAAAAATGAGACAGTAAGAAAACTTTTTGATTACGTGAAACTTTGTAACGTTGAAGAAGTTCTTGAGCATGCAAATGATTATAATGCTGATTCATTAATTAAATATTGTAACAAATTTATTGAAAATAATCAATCTTTTCTCTAAATATTTACATCCTTCATTTTAATAATTTATATATATTTTTATGTATAATACTATGTATATGTTTTAAAAGAAATCACTATGTACATTTGTGAAAAGACAGCCAATGTATAATAAAACTAGTAAAAATTTGTTTGGCCATAATTTTTTTTCGTTTTATGGATAAAATTATAAGATATTAGAGTGACGCCAAGTGAAAACCGGT